CAATACAGCTTCCAATGGAACAAGGGATGGCAACCGTGGTGTAGATCTAGAGAGAAGGACAATATGTATAAGTGGTTAGCTGCGATTTTCTCAATAATTGGCATTATTATGGTTGGTTCATCCAGTTTTTCATTATTTTCATAGTTTTCAGTCATTCACTGATGAATATTGGTGTGAATTTATTTGGAATGAATTGAAAAACGTTTGAGGTTGGCTCGAAAATAGTGGAATTTAAGTGAAGTTTGAATGAGTGATTAAGGATTGCTCAGATCTGTTCTGAAGCAATTTAATGTGAGTTCTAAATTCTTCGTCATGAAAACTATTTTGCCGCAACTGAGTTGACTTCAATAAAAATTATTACAAAATCAATTTAATCCAGTTTTCGTGCAAATTTTCAGCTGATTGCTCTCGTTTTCCTAGCATTTTGGTGCGTCAAACAGAAACGACGAATTGAAGCTGAAGAGAGAGCTATATATCGTGATATGGTTATCCTTTATTGAAATCAAGTTGCTTGTGATTTCGTAGCATTTACCGTCTGGAATAGTCGGCATTTTTCGCTCATTTTTTGATGATTCGAATAAAAATCAATTTTTTCAAAAAATAAATTCCACTGAATGATGCCAAAGAGGGACAATGTTAACGGAAAGTTTTCAGGTGTTCTCGATTACGGACAGCACAGATTTGAATGCAGTAGATAAGAAATCCTCACCATTAGACGGCGATATATTTCAACCACCGCGGCCGACAAGTGCAATGAGAAGGACAATGCTGGACAGGTGAGTGTTCTCGAATGAACGATAGCAGAACGGTCCAATTGATCTGCTTGGTTCATTTATATTAGCAATCTTCATAACTGAACTTCCGCTGTCCTTAAACAGTTTATCACAGTTCCTATTTATCAATTTTTCAACAAAACAGTACGTGACGAGCAGTATATCATTCCTTCTTTATTTCTAGAAGCATTCTATTTTTCCAAAAAACGCTTTCAATTTTCAGACCGAAAATCGAGGATAGTAATGCTGACTATTCGCAAGAATCAGTGCCACCATCGTCACCTGAATTCAGATCCCGGAAAGGATCGGATGGTTTACTGGGACTTAGGACAAGTGTTTGAGAATAAAGTGATTCTGCGCCTGTGAAAAACTCACAAGGAATTGCTTGAATCAATTTGCATTCAACTTCTAATTACATAGTGACACTATCATCAATATTATAATTTTAAAAAATTTAGCTGTGTCACCTCAAACTTACAGCACTCGGTGCTCCAGTAAGACAAATTGTATAATATTATCTTAATGTACATGTTATATTTTGTAGGTGCTTGAAAGGACTTATTTGCGTTGATTTAATCAGGAATTTTACTCCTCTACTGAACCAATCTTTATTGTTATTGTTGTCTTATCGAAGCATTTCCTTTCTTAAATGATATCTCAACATTTTTAGATCTATTCGTCATATGTGAATTGAAAAGTATACCTCACAGATTATTCTTATTTCTTGAATAATTGATTTTATGTTTGCATCTCAGATTGAAAATTGCTTCACTTCATGGTGCAATATTGAAAGAGGTTCTTCAGTAAGTGAATTAATTTATCTTATTCTGATATGGATCAGTTCCGTGAACAGCCGAATGTTGATTGAATCAGCAGCAGAAAATTTCCTCAAATTAGTTTGAAAAGAATCTCCATTTGTTCAGTTGCTTTTGCTTGTACTATCAAAAACAAATTCGTCACAAACACATGACTTTCACATACTGAAGAACTCTGCAATTTCTTATGAATACTTGATCAATGCTGATGACTTTCGTAGGTTGTATTCTAAACTACAAACCTTTTGTATAATAAAACGAATCTGCCATAAGTGATGTGATCAGCAAATGTTTCATTCTATCGAAATTTTCCCAAAATCGCAAAATAAAATCATTAACAGTATCACATCGCTGAATGCATTTAGAAATGTACTTTTTATACTTTTTACTTTGGAACTACATGCGAATAGTTTATCTCAGATCTTCCTCTATCCGATCTTACTGAGAAGTTGTGCGTATGAAATTAGCCTTAAGAAAGCCATGTCAACTCATCTCACTGCACCTCAGTTAAGCGAAGTCAGCCTATTTCAAGCTTTCCAAAGAGCGTGAAATTGTGCCAAATTGTTATCTCTCTGAAATCGACCATAAGATTGGATGGATTTTTGAAGATTGGTGTTGAAACCTGAAAAATCATACCGTTGAGGTGTCTTGCGCTAAGATAAGCTTTCGCACACAGAAGCTTGGTACTCTCACCATATCTAAAGATCCTCCCGGAAATTCGGCTGAGTTTGATGCTCCACGAATTCTCAAATTTAATTAATGATCGATGAACGGTAGAGAAATTAAATGTATGGAGAGAGATGAACGACCAGGCATAGATCAAAATATATATGTCCAGGATTTTGACATATTTCTGGATCTAACAATCAGTTGGAATTATTCATTCTGACAATTTTCGATTTTCCGGTGGGCATCGAACCTTGGGCGATTACAGGAAAAGGATTCCATTCGTCGAATTTCGTTCAGACTAACTTAACATTTGATCGCTTTATGAGTACACAGTGAAACTAATTTGCTTGTTTACGGATGGAAGGAACAAATTGCACTGAAAATAACCAATAGTGATCTGTATGAATACGATGGGCGATAGACGGGAACAATATTTATTTTCGGATACTTCAAATTGAACTCCCTCCGGAAAATGGTTATCTCTTCATTGCATTAATTTTACCATTTTGTGAAAGGTATCTAAAGTCGATAGCAGATGGTAATAAATTTGGCAACGACAATCTTACCAGTAACTCCGAACCTTCTTAACTACGGTAACTAGCCACGCCCACAAATTACGGCAGTAAGCCACGCCCACAATTAACGAAAAGGTTACAAATCGAGTAAAGAAGACACGAACAGTTGAAAAATCAGAAACGGAATCTAGAGGAATCTAGAGGATCTGCGGAATCTGATGGTGTAAAGAACAGTTGAAAAAAAAATCTGATGGTGTAAAGAACAGTTGAAAAAAAATCTGATGGTGTAAAGAACAGTTGAAAAAAAATCTGATGGTGTAAAGAAATTCACATGCTACTGGGCAAACTTGAGAGTACCGTTAGCTTGAAGGCAAACTCTATAATGCTATATTAATGTATGCAGTGATCTATAATGATACGTTATACAATGAATGAGAGCGATTGCGCTGATTGAGATAGGTTCAAGAAAATGGCTATATCTCCTTAAGTAAGAAGAATCGCTCGGCAAAATATATGATATTTTGAATCTAGAGGATCTGGGGAATCTGATGGAGTAAAGAAATTCACATGCTACTGGGCAAACTTGAGAGTACCGCTAGTTTGAAGATGGCAAACTCTATAATGCTATATTAATGTATGCAGTGATCTATAATGATACGTTATACAATGAATGAGAGCGATTGCGCTGATTGAGATAGGTTCAAGAAAATGGCTATATCTCCTTAAGTAAGAAGAATCGCTCTGCAAAATATATGATATTTTGAATCTAGAGGATCTGGGAAATCTGATGGTGTAAAGAAATTCACATGCTATTGGGCAAACTTGATCCAGGTGGCCTTCTAGCTGTGGACGAAGCTTACTGTTTTGATCTGACGTTTAGAGATTAAATTGACATAAATAAACTGTTTCTGATTTTTTCACTTCTTTGTGTCTTTGTTGCACTTTCGTTGCAAGTGCATTTGACAAAAATTTTGCAAGCGGGCGTGTCGGGTTTGGAAGTGGCTGTGGCCTGAAGTGCGCGTGGGGTTCTACCGTAATTTGTGGGTGTGGCTAGTTACCGTAGTTACCAGTCCCCTGAGGTGCTACTAATCTTCCTTTTTTATAATGCATCTAAGCTAGAAAATAAGATTGCCACTGGTACATTTCAAAAGGATGATCTACTGATACTAATAAGAACAAGGATGCTTCCCATTAATTCATGTAGTAGCTTACAATAAAAGTGATTTTTTTGTGAGGAAAATTAATTAGGAATTTAGCTGAGGTCTTAATAGTGAATTTGTAATTCTCACTGAAATCGAACTCACGATTGCTTAACCACGTAACATTTTCAATATTATTGAATTAGTGGACTGAAAATTGCTCGATAACGAATGGGCTTTCCAGTATTTGCAAAAACTGGAACAAACTGATGTGACTTATAATAGAATGAAACTTATAAACTTATAATAGAATGAAATAAAAATGGCTGATTTGATGTTTATATATTCAATTATCCAACAATTAACATATTCCATTGAATATTACTCGTTTAATGGAAATTTTCTCTCAAATAGTTGGTCTGATCCGTATCAATTCAAGAGCTGATCTTTTTCTATCATTTGGATGAATTTTCATTCTGAATGTGGCCGTTTTTAGGAACAATGGAGTTTGCGGTGGAACTTTGTAAGAAATTCTTTCACAAACTTCGTTCTTCTCGTTTTGTTTTTTGATTTTCTTAATAGTCAATCGTTAATCTCCTTCAGTTCGTAAACACTCAGTCCCACTTGGCAATCTCGTCTGCAGTTTATCCTTGAGTTTTCATGCCAACTCAATCCTCTACTACTTCAGTTAATTTTATGTCGACGGGAGAAGGAATCTGTGAATGTATTCTGCGTTATGCGATATCCTTATCAACAATTAACATTTGTTTCAATTGTGTTTTGTATACGTCGAAGGTATTTTTTACGCTCTACCAATTATTTATTAACAGCAATCATCAATTGTAAATAATCAATAATAATACACATGATGATTACCATTTCATCACAAAATAGTAATACTCTTACAGTTAGTAGGTAAGATACCTTAGCGGGTCCAGAGAAAAGAGGTGAGACATTGTTCATTTTGTTATGCACTGCGGTGCAATAATACTACTTCAATAATCTTAATTCGAGCGAGCAATTCCGACTGTCGGAATGATGAAACTACTCTTTAGTCAACAGTGATAGTGATGGTTTTGAAATATTGCTGATTTTTGTTTGATATTCGCAACAGGAAATCCACAATGAATTAATATTTCTCTCTGGCTTACAATATAAAAATTATTTATTACGGTCACATAGAACGACCAACATAATGGACCTCTAAAAAATTGTGTTTCCATTTTTTCATCACATCTGCATAACCAATATTCTATTTTCTGAATTTCTTGGAATGCAAGTTCGGATGGAAGTTGCAAATGAGGTTTTTGAAACTTTTCGAGTCTTGAAATTCTGAAGTGGATACTTCAGCTACATTGCGGTGAGCTGTCCTTATCAAGGAAACATTTTTGAATGGACCAATACCTGATTTCATAACGCCTTTTACNTCATCATCATCTTTAAGCTGGCTGTGATCAGAGCTCTACCAAAACGAACCGTCAATATGGAGGGTTTGTTGATTCTTCTTCTCGACGATGAATGAATTTAAATAAATAAAGTCAGTTAAGCGAAGTCAGCCTATTTCAGGCTTTTCAAAGAGCTAAAATTGTGCCAAACTGTTATCTCTTTGAAATGGACCGTAAGATTGGGTGGATTTTTAAGGATTGGTGTTAAAACCTGAAAAATCATACTATTGAGGTGTCTTGCGCTAAGAGGAGCTTTCGCACGCAGAAGCTTGGTACTCTCACCATATCTAAAGATCCTCCCGGAAATTCGGCT